AACATTTACAAAATTTGTCTATAATTTTATTTCGTTCCTGTTTTCGAAAGGGAATTATTAACAATAAACTGATATTTATCAGCACATTCTCAGAATAAATTATAAAAAGGTCACAAAACCATGAACACTGTTCAAAGGATACACTAGGTAGGGCGAGTGACGAGTTAACTCGTCCCGAACGAATCGCAGTCACGTTCACCGAGGCTTGTTCGTTAGTCCTCGAGCGCCAATAAATTTCGCTGCTTTCGGATTGGCCTGCATGTCTGAGCGTAATAAAATTTCTTCGAACGGAAAAGACATCGTGGATTAAAAATAGTAGGCGGAACCGGGGGACGAAGAAAAGCGCGCGCGGAGATTCGAGAGACACCGCGCGGCCTAGTTGGACTGGGGCAGGGTCGTATCGCGCAACACTACTCGATGCCTCCGATACTACGCTTCGCGGCACGCATTCGTAATTAGACGAACCGAGGAATACGGGAGGCTCGATTAGCGTTAGTCATGACAGCGGAGGCACGGAGCATGCACGACATTTCTTTCCTGCCGCGGCGGGCTTGAATTCGCTGCTACCACCGGTTTAAAACCCTGACTGGCGGTGTCACGCTCCGCTCGAGACGGAAGTCGAGTGGCACTGCTAGCCACCAGGACTGTAAACCTCGAGAGCGGAATAAATTAGGTCTTCGCCACGGGAATAGAAAATTTATCATCGGCCTTAATCGATAATCCTCCCGTTGACCGCCCGACGCTTTTTCCCTCGGTTGCCAGCGTACAGTCCGTAGCGATATTGTCTGTTAAACAGTCGACACTTAGCAGTTTTGGGGACTGATTGTTTTAGCTGCTCTTCTTTTAATAGCGTTAAATGTAATTCTTCGATTATACACGTAATGGACCGTAAGCGCAGTCATGTAAATGTTAGACCATTTCGGACATGATAGAACAAGTTGACGCAAGGCATCGGCTACGTGGGCATTATTGCAGTCGAGAGTGTTCCTCGGCCGACGGTGAACCGATTCCTCCGCTGATTCGCGGGGACATCGCGAGTGAACGCAATTCAACTTTTGATAGATCGTCGAGGCGACTCGAACGTAATTATGTTTGACTTGCCGCTTTGGCAGACCTCGAGACTTGTTTCCCGCAATTACCTCGGGATTCGCGGAAGTGAAACGCGAGGGAAAGGTTATTATTCTGAAGCACCTTGGAAATGCAATCAAAGTTTCGCTCAATCGACGTCGCGCGAGCCCTCTGCCCCTTTCCGTCCTCTTCGCCGTCACCACCTCCTACCTCCGCCTCAGGAACAGGACAATATTGACGATAATTAGGATGGGCACGATCCTCGACCGAGGAGCACGCTGTTAAAAACAATTTACTTCAGCAATTAGCCGAGGGAATTGTGATTCGGCGACGATGACCTCCCTTCGCGTAGCTTTTCTGAATCGTTCGAGGACACGGATCGTTCTCCGCGGAACGGAATAGGTCGCCTAAGAACCTGGAATCGATGAAACGCCTCGAAACTGAGAATGCTGCTTCGGTCGCGGCCGATCGGTGCCGTTTCTCACGGGTCGCAGGGGGGACAATTATTCGCGGGGAATCGGTGAATTCTCCCGCGGGGATGCCGAGGAGGGCGCGCCGCGAAGATGCTCCGTGATCGAGAGAGGAACATGGGTGAGGAAGGTGGAAAGGCGGCGAGCTAGACGGCGAACGTGGACGGACAAAGACCGGAGAGAAAATCGAAAGGGAGTGAAAAGAGGGCGGCGGGAAGTAGAAAAGAGATAGAACGATAGAAAGACAAGCAGGGGAGCGGGGGATAGGGGAGAGGGCAGCCACGAAGAGAAAGAGAGAGATTCTCATTGTAAAGAAAGCCATGTGCGTACGTAGAAGACGTGAGATCCGTTGGACCCGCATGCGGACCTTATTGTGTCCCAAAAGGGCGTATACGGTAGGTACCTTAATGTCGGCACGGATGAAAGCGTGGGCCCTCCTTTGTCTTTCCTTCGTGAAGCTGCCACAGCAAGTAGCGTGCTCTGCGGG